GTCAGCTTTGACGGAATGTCAAAGATGCAGTGGTTCAAAGAGTTTTGCTCCGGCTGGCCGGTCCGAAGCTCAAAAACTAACAATTCGGGAAGTGACCTTAGTTTTATTAGATGTTTTACCAAACACACCTCAGAACTAGGGTTGTCACGGTAACCGGTGTAGCGGTAAACCCCGGTAAAAAAGTTGACAATAATAATAACCGTCTTGTTTAAAAAAAAAAAACTATATTATCTCGGTGGGTTACCGTGGCTGCGGTGTAGGCGCGGTGACCCTTACCAGCCACCGTATCATCTGCTGAAGTTGCCGGCGGTACATGAGCGCTTTGTTGTTTACAACCAAAACTTTCTTGAAGCTAAAGCTGAAATAATGGCCAAAGGAGGAGACGGCAGCGCTCAGGAGGACATTTATTATCCCTCTAAGAAGACAAAGTGGGAAGTACGGGCATCTTTTGGATATTTGAAGAATGCCGAGGGACAGTTGATAGAAGACGGCTATCCTGTTTGCAGCACGTGCAGAAAAAGTGTCTGTGAAAGGCAGCAACGCTTCAAATCTCATGACACATCTGCGTGACCATCACCCACAACTCTACAGTCAACGCAAGGCAAGCTAACGTTGGCGTTTTAGCTAAAATGCGTGATCCGAGCATTTGGGTTGAGGGAGAATGCAACGAGTCGCTATATAAAGCAGCCGCAGCGCCGCTACCTGCATATAAACCGTGTCGCGGACACCCCCATGTTCAAATGACACTATGCATTACGGGGCTCCCAGGGGCAGATAAGAGTTGGTCTCTCTCAGAGAATATTTATAAATTTATGACATCTTTCCAAATCTGCAAAGCTCACTGGAAGGACACAAACCGAGGACAATATTTTCCTGATATAGGGTTTATTACTCAAGTAAGGGTAAAAAAGTATCTGATTAGAAGGCTACTTGTGTACTGAGTATCATCTGATCTAATATTTTTAAATGATGACATCAGACAAAAAATAAGAAGTTATGGGCAAATATTGGTATTTTAAAGACTAAAGGGAATGCTACGACCTCAACCTGGTCTAGGATCCAGGGAGGTCTAACACAAAAAACGTGAGGATGAAAAATAAAAGATCTTACACCATGTCATGGCCAGTTTAGTCTTTTTATTAATCTACAGCGTCCCTAAGGGAGAAAACTAGGTTGGAAACAATGGAGAGTTAAAGGAGGGGTTGAATTTAGGCTGGGGAAGGAGCGCTAAGGGCTTAAAGTAACTAAAAGAGCAATGAACCAACTAATTGGTTATGAGAGCTAAAACTCTGGTTCCAAAAGGGAAACCAGAAACAAAAGGAGCTTGCCCGGAGGCCTTACCCAAAGTCCACTGGTGAACTTAACTCGCCCACACAACCAAAGCTCTGTCGAGAGCAAGGGAGAAACCGAACCTCAAACCTAAAGGTTTTCCCAGCAGGTGGAACCAAATCATCCGGGGGAAACTATAAACTCCAAATGCTCTCAAAATGCATGTCTCCTCTCTCGATAATCCTCCTCCCGCCTCTCTCTCCAGTGCAGCGGTGATTTTTATCCGTTCCAGCCGGGGGATTCCAGATGAGAATCAGCTGCGTGAGTGAGGCCGGGCGCTCTCCATGGTGCTGACCATGGTGCTGAAAACAGCAGAGTATAAGCCGGGCGCCGGGGAACCCAGAGCTCGTAACAGGGAAAAAATGTAAACAAATAAACTACATAATTACAAAATAACACGTTTTGGGCAAAATTTAGACACAAACTGAGGACAATATTTCCTGACATTCAGGGTTTATTTAATTGTGTGAAAATGTTGCACGTTAAAAAAAATACCGTGATAATACCGAAAACCGTGGTAATTTTGGTCACAATAACCGTTAGGTTAAAATTTCACACCGTGACCACCCTACTCGGAATGCTCCTGCTCCAGATGCCCTGATCTTGTGGATAAGAAAATCGCTATGTGTCATGACATTTAACTTAACCTTGTGTCAGGAAGATATGCAGTGTGTGTGAGTGTAGATCATGATTACCTTGTCATGTTAAACGTTACTGATCGTAACATATAAATCTTTCAATGTAATAATATTCATTTCAACTTCAGTAATTTAAGCACAGATTAATCAACCTTATTAATTTAACCACAGATTAATCAAAACATTTTAACACCATGTCCATTCATCATATGACTAATTACATATTTCATTGCATCATCCAGTATTCATTATTTTAACGGTTCAGTCCTTTATTCTGTGCAGGACAGCCTAGATAAGCAGACAGGCTTGGTGGAGAAGAACCTTGGGAAGGGAACCTGATGTTGACAATCTGAGTGTAAACACGCAGTATTGGATCTTTCTTGCAGCTTGGAAGATTAAGAGACGCACAGAGCAGATTCATGCCTGTAGATGACCGGTCACCGAAAATGTCAATATATAGGTGAAAACTGACCCTTTCTCGGTGTTACAATTGTATTAATTATTTTATTCAGGAGCATGATTCTACATCTATTTGTGGTAGGTGACATGAATGGTTACATCTCAGATGTCCAGTCTGTTTTTGTTAAAGTTCTGTGAGGATAATAATGTTATTTTGTCCAGCAAGTTATTGTAACCACCAAGTGTGGAATGGCTTGACCATTGCATCAGCACTGCTGATACACATGCTGGGTTGAAATAAATGGAAATCCTGTAGGAGTATTCTGTGTCAGATCATGTAGCACTTGTCATGCGCCTGGATATTAAAGGTCTTCCTGAGCTGGTTAAAAAGGAAGCGAGAGCTGCAAAGCTATGGAGGTTGTGGGACAGCTCCGCCCAGAAATGGTACTTTAGCCACCGTGAGGGCTGGGCGGACACAAAGCATCGGAGGTACCGGCCCAGCTGCTGGTTTGCCCCGTCTGTCTGCCCATTTGTTTGGGGATAGTAACCAGACGATAAACTGACCGAAGCTCCTAGGAGATGACAGAAGGCCTTCCAGAATCGGGCGGTGAATTGCGAGCCCCAGAGACCACGTCGGTCGGGAAACCATGAAGGCGCACCACATGCTCTAAAAACAGTTTGGCCGTGCATCGGGCTGAAGGGAGTCCGGATAGGGCGATAAAGTGGATGACCTTCAAGAAGCGATCAGTGACGGTGAGGACAGTGTTGAGTCAGTTGACGACTGGGAGGCCCGTGATAAAGTCTAGTCTGACATGGGACCAGGGTCTGCTGGGGATGGGGAGCGGCCAGAGGACCCCTGCCGGTGGCTGGTTGGACGCCTTAGTCCCGGGTTGTAGTCTGATATCCATGTCATAGGGGCGGTGTGGCGGGAGAACAGAGGCTCATTGTTTGTCAAACAGCGGCAAGGTCTTGATAAGGGAGCGGCAGATTGGGTAGAGAAGGTCTGGGTCCCTCGGCAGAGCCGACCCTGGGAACTAATCCTGGGGAGAGATGAGCTTGGCAATGGGTCCCCCAACCTTGAAGGCGGTTCTGGGATCAGGAGATCTGGGGATCGTGGAGGCGGAGCCAGGGGAACCCCAAGATTAAGGGAGAAGAGGGGACTGAAATGACCAGAAAGTGTAGGGTCTCCTGGTAGCCTTGGAGAGTCATCTGAAGGTTCTGTACAAATGCAGGCCATTTATTATTTATACAGGTATGTGTTGCTGAACATGGAGAGCGTTTGATCAGCATGGAGTTGGGAAGGAAAGATGAAAGCTGCAGCAGAGTCATACTTTGACTTGAGTGTGTCACTACACTGGAGTTCAGTGTGCTCCATCTGGAGGTTGGCTGGTGTGCTTTTCACGTCAGTTGTGAAAGGATTACTAAGCAGATGATTTCTCAAATTATGGGTTCAAATTCGGCAAATCGCTGCATAAACTTGGCGCTGAGTAAGAGGAGTATTTGCAGTTTGTCCCAGACTGATGAGCTGCAGCTGCAGACACAGATACTAGTGGCATAGATGCTGTAAACAGAAAGGAGGGGGTACTTGCAAATGCTGCAAAGCACTATGGGATTTGTAGTCTTTGCAGAAAATGGGCTGACGGGCCAGATCTAAAACATAATTGATCTGTGGGCCAAGTATAAATAGACCAGATTTGGCTCGAGGGCCTGAGTTTGACAGCTGTGCAGTAAAGGGCCATTTTAGCTCAAGATAATTTAAAAATATGAAACTAACACATTAGCACACTGGGTTAATGCATGATCTTTGGAACATCTGGATTCAGATGGAGATTTTTCAAGTCAAAAAATTAATTACATTGAGAAAAGAACTTAGACAGAAGAAGTTTTAGATTTGAGAAGAGCGCAATGATTTAATTTGAAGTCATATGAAATCAATCATCAGCATCAAGCCTTCAGAAAAGACATTATTTAGATAAAGGTTGAGCCAGAGTTTAAAGATTTTTATTTACATTTAAACTGAAAAAGAAAAGGAAGCACGTCGGTAATTTATATACATATTTTATCTATTTAAAGATGTGAAACACTGAAAAAACCTTTTTTAATGATTATGTTTAATTATAATGGGTCACTGAGTTTTTCATGCAGACTGAACATGAAAATAGTCTCCTACACCTATCTCCTGCATTTGCTTCTGATAGAAAATAGACAGTTAAACTCTAGGCTTCGAAACGCCTGACAGATCTATGTGATTTAAGGTGATTTAGCATTTATGGACCCGCAGATATTGACTCATGATGGTTATGGCTGTTGTTGTTTGAACGTCTGGGAATCAGCAGTGGACATCTCTACTAGTAGAAGCTAACCATGGCTTCCCCTCATGGCAGAAGCTCCTGAAGGCTTGAATTATTTCTGGAGATAAAACTTCGAAAAATCGTAACAATTGGAGTCAGTGGAAGAGTCATGTTGCTGTTATCCAATCAGGACCGAGATGTCCAATTATCAAGAAATAAGACTCCAAATATAGCTGTCTGCCCCCACTGAGTACAACTTGTATGACGTTCATTCCTACCAGAGATTACCGTGAATGTATTCATTAAGTAACACCTTTAAGGAACAAACCATATAGACATTAGAAACAATTTAGGAAAAGCCTTTAATAATAAAACATGCAGGAGCAGAGGATTAAATGTGTTCATTGATATAAAGGATCTAAAATTATTCAGAATTATTAAACTTGTTGCTATAATCAATAACATGTTTGTGTGTTCATATGTATCACACCAAAAGCTTTAACCACAGGTGGGCAGGTCCATCTGTCCATTGATGCACTGTTTACGCATTGGCTCTTGGTGAAGTAGTCTTGTTCCATATTTACATACAAATGTCAGGTGATCTTCATGAGGCGCATAATATTTTTCTCTGTCATAACGTGAAAATTCAATATTGTGTCTCTCCATCATTTCAGCATTCACAATGCATGGTTCTGTAAAAGAGCAAAAATTTCAGTTAGAGCACAAAATTGCAAAAAAAAAAGTAAAAAAAAACAACCTAAAGCAACAATTTTCTAATATTTTATGACAACAAAAGCATTAATTTAGAAATATATTAGATTTTTCTTTTACATAGTTCTAACTTTATAGGTTATTAATAACTAAAATTAATAAAGCATTCATTTCTGAGATGTATTTTATTTTCTAGCCAAACTCAGATAAAATTCACACACAGCGTCAACAAAAATGTCCTCATTTTAAAAACATACAAGTTTAAGTGACTTACTCATGCATGTCATCTCTCCAGTCCACACACCATTGTTACACGTTTTAAACCGCCCACCCTTCAGAACGTACATGTTGTAACAGGTGTATTCAACAGTATCACCATTTTCATATTGTTGTTCAGTGAATCTCACAGTCTCTCCATCTGTTAGAGATGGTGGACGCCCACAGCCACTTTGGTCTAAACGAATGAGGACAATAACACAGAGAATACAGTTTTAGGTGGTATTTAGTTACAGCAATCACATTATATCCTAAATGTGTCTGTATTATTTATATTTATAGATTCACTAGGATAAATACAATAAAGTTTATCTCTCACCAAATAGAATATTTACTAAGAAATCACAATGTAACCATAGACACATTACTTGGTGTGTGTGTGTGTGCTGGTAATGTTGTATGTGTGTGTGTATGTGGATGAGTGTGCGTGCGTGTGTGTGTCTGCTCTGTCTTCTCCATCCCTAGTGAGTTGTGGTGGATGGCTGCTTATACTGACCTAGGATCCTCTGGGGGTTTCTTCCTGTTAAAAGGGAGTTTTCCTCTCCACTGTCGCTATATGCTTGCTTAGTATGAGCATTGCTGTAAAGTCTCTTGACACTAGTCAGTGACTTGATGCAATTTGCTGGGTTCCTTATATAGGAAACTTTTCTTAAGCCTTTCAGAAAAAAAAACTGACCTGTATTGGAATGTTTATTATGTGAAGTGCCTTGAGACGACTTGTCGTGATTTGGCGCTATATAAATAAACTTGAATTGATTTGAACTATATCTAGGGATGTCTGATCAGGTTTTTTTGCCCTCGAGTCCGAGTCATTTGATTTTGAGAATATGCCAATACCGAGTCCCGATCCATTACTTTCGATACATAAAAAAAGGAAAGAAAAGGAAGAAACAGTTCCAGAATGTTCCTTATTTTTTATTTAATTACCCTTTTATTTTAATTTCTAACAACAGATCACTTCTGTGAGGTAGCTTGAACAATCAAGTAACAAGTAACCTAAATTCTTCATTTTTGGACTTAATTGCAAATATAAAAAGTCTAATACAAAAACAGATAGCACTTCAACTCAAGTGGTGCTCGCTGCAGAACCACAAAGGCAAAGCTGCACCAGAAGGTGGAGCTGCACCAGAGTCAGCCCCGCCCATTCACGCAAACAGCCTAGCCCACTGACTTCTTCTGTTCAATATAACTTGCTACATGACAAAGCCTGAATATATCCCGAAATGAAAAGTTTTCTTTTAGCGAATATCTCTCCATAGCCGCTCCAACAGAACCGGGGTAAAGCAGCATTTATGGACTAGTTTTAGTGTGTTCTGGTAGTCCAGTGGCAAGAGCATTAGTTTTTAGTATTGCTTTCCCTTCAGCTGATGCTGGTTCGACTCTCGGTGGGGTCGGCAGCCAGCTGAAACATTTAATTTGTTTATATTTTAGTTGTAATGTTTATTTTCTGCGAAATGTTTATGCCTGTAAAAGTTATTTGAATTTGGTCGTTCCTAAACAGCATTTTAGTTGAAACTCTGCTCACAAATGGACTCACACTGGCTAAATGAACAAATAAATAAAATAAAAAACACATTAGTCATTATATTTTAAACGGTATACCAATAAATGGTTAAAAACATAGTACTGGCAAGTGTAGCTAGAAAAGAAGAAAAAAGTTTGCGCCGCTACCGGGAGGCGAACCTGCGCAAAACTACATGCCAAACTGACTGTACAACCACTTCACCACCACAGCTTGTGGCGTCACATGTAATTATGCCATCCAGTGTGTTTTTGTAGATGGGGATGTATGGTTTTTCGGCGGTGTCTCAGTAGGTCATATCAGAAATAATTTGTCAGAAAATTCACAGAATATCCTGATTTGAGAGCCAAGACCAGACCCGCTTCGGAGGAGAGGACCAAATTGAAGCTGAGATGGGAGGAAAATGTGTGAATGAGGCCAAAAATGGCTTTGGCGTGTTTCTTATGAGGAAACGACAATATAACATGGTAAAAAGTTCTAAAAGTTAGATTTTTATTTATATGGAACCTTTACAAAAACGGTTCAATTAACTTCTCAACTCAGTCCTCAATCTTGCATTTTAGATGATATTAGCTATAACACCCTCTTTGGTTCCAGAATGCTATCAAGTCTGACAACTGGAAGGAATTGGACTGACTCTGATGGAATGGGCGGGGCTGACTCTGGTGCAGCTCCGCCTTTGTGGTTCTGCAGCGAGCACCACTCGGAAAAACTCCTGCCTGCTTCCGTCTTTTTCACCTCACAAGTAACTTTTTAACTAGCAGATCAAATTGATCTATTGCCCGCAAAAAAAAGCGGAGTGTGCGCTGCGCCAGTGACGAGCGCTGCAGCGCGAGCGTGTCCACACGTCATGCTCAAATACAGACAGAACTTACCAGAGAGAAAATGAACGGACACGAACGACTGTGTGTTAACTAAGGATGAGGTCTCTGCTTTTTGCATATGATGTGGTTCTGTTGGCTTCATCAGAACATAATCTCCAGCTTTTGCTGGAGTTATTTGCAGCCGAGTGTGAAGCAGCTGGGATGAGAATCAGCTCCTCTGAATCTGAGACCATGGTCTTGAGTCGGAAAAGGGTAGAATGCCTTCTTCTGGTCTGGTATGAGGTCCTGCCCCAAGTGGAAGAGTTTAAGTGTCTCGGGTCTTGTTCACGAGTGAGGGAAAGATGGAGTGTGAGATTGGTGTTGCGTCTGCATTGATGCAGGCATTGTGCCAATCTTTTGTGGTGAAGAGAGAGCTGAGCCAAAAGGCAAAGCTCTCGATTCACCGGTCGATCTATGTTCCTATCCTCACCTATGGTCACAGGCTTTGGATAGTGACCGAAAGAGCGAAATCGTGGATACAAGCGGCCTAAATAGGTTTTCTCAGCACGGTGGCTGGGCTCTCCCTCAGAGATAGGGTGAGAAACTCAATCATCCAGGAAGGATTCAGAGTAGACCCGCTGCTCCTCCACGTCCAGAGGAGCCAGGTAAGGTGGCTAAGGCATCTGGTCAGTATGCTTCCTAGACTCCTCCCTGGTGAGGATTTCTGGGCACGTCTAACTGGGAGGAGACCCAAGGGATGACCCAGGACATGCTGGAGGGACTATGTCTCTCAGCTGGCCAGGGAATGCCTTGAGATTCCCCCGGAGGAGCTGGCCCAAGTAGCTGGGGAGAGAGACATCTGGGCCTCTCGGCTTAGGCTACTGCCCCTGTGACCCGACCTTGGATAAACGGTTGAAAATGGATATTGACATTCTGGAATATGTGTGGACAATTCAGTCCGGTTTTTAACCAGAACTGTGTTTTCAGACACACCACTTTTGTACCGGAACTTGTCCTTTCGGCTGCCTTCACACAGCAGGGAAAAGTTCCAGATGTGTATGTATATGTATATGTATATATATATATATATATATATATATATATATTTTTTTTTTTTAAATTTTTTTTTACTTTTTTTTTTCTTCTTACCTGGACATTCTATTGATTTGGACCACAAGCCATTGCTACACGATGCAGTTCCCTCGATAACTTCTCCAGGTGCATTACACTCATAGTTGATGCTCTCACCTTCCATGTATGTTTCTTTTACATCAGACCGAATCGTCAATTTTCCATCTTCTAAATTCTCACAATATCCTAAAAGAAAATAAATGAGTAGATGTTAATCCCAGGTGGCAATACAATCTTAATTTAGACATGTTCTTCTTTAAAAGTTTGTCTTGTTTTTCTTAGTAACCAATTGGTATTACTTTTGGTTTGAGAAAAGCAGTTCATTAGTGCTTAGAAAAGAAATGTACTTGGATGGGTAAAGAGTTCCAAAGTTTGGGTGCAGCATGAGAAAAGTAAGTAAGTAAGTAAGTAAGCTTTATTTATATAACACCTTTCACAGACAAAAAGGTCACAAAGTGCTTCACAAGTTAGAACGACACATAAATAGGCTACTATAAAATACAGTCACAATATAGATAAAAAGTCGTATACAGCAAATCCGCATACAAAATATGTTTAGAATGCCCGGAGAAATGGGTTTTCAGATTGCTCTTAAAAGCATCAACTGAGTTGAGTGAACGTAAGAACAGAGGTAACTCATTCCAGAGCCTTGGCACGACGGCCTGGAATGAGCGATCACCTCGTGTCTTGAATCGAGTATGTGGGACCATAAGAAGATTTTGATCCAACGATCTCAACCTTCGAGAAGGCGTGTAAGGACAGAGCATGTCTCAAATGTACAGTGGAGCCTGACCATGCAGCGCTCTGAATGTCAGCACAAGAATTTTAAAATTGATGCAAGAAGAAATTGGGAGCCAATGAAGAGCTTTTAGAATGGGGGTAATGTGAGCTCTTCTGTTGGCACGGGTCAGTATTCTAGCTACACAGTTTAGAACTTGTTGTAAACATTAAAAGTGAAAGAATAATTCTAAAAGCTATCGACAGGTAAATGACTAAATCACTGATGGCCTCGGTTTTTAACTTGCTCAAGAGATGACATTAGTAGTTAGGAGATATATTACTGAAGCCACCCAATAACAATATCAATTTTAATTAATAATAATTTATCATTTTTATAAAGATTCTTACCAGCACACTTCTTTGCTTCAGCCCAGGTTCCTTCCTTACAGATAGCAGTGAAAGTTTCTCTATTCCCACTCCTGCATCGGTATCGGACCTGGTCATCACTAATATAGTTGTATTTTGCACCATGAATAATGTCTGCATCTTGAAAATCAGGAGGTGGACATGATGCTAAAAGCAAACAGACAAACTAGTAAAAATAATTTGTACTGAAGTCTGTCAACAATGTTTTTTTAAACTAACAGAACAAACACAAATGATGGTCTATCAAATCAGATTAAGGTTTATTTATTTATATAACACAAACAACCACCTATGGGAGGCCCAAGGTGCTGACCAGCACATAAAAACAAGGATATAAACAACATAGTAGATAAAAAAGAGTAAAACTGATAAAACATAAAAATAATAGAAAAGTACAAGTAAAAGTAAGTAAAAGCCATTAAGTAGAAAAGGTAAAAATACAAAAGCCAGTGTCAACGATGTTGAGGGAAAGTTAGATAAGGGAGGGAGTTCATTCCAGAGTGTAGGGGCCGTTACTGGGAAGGCCTAGCCTAGTGAACGAGACCAAATTCTTGCTTTGCAAAGTTTGATCTAGGAATGCTCCACTGGAACCTCTGCAGCCCCTAACAGCATTCTGGCTGGCCAATCACAGCTCTCTAGAGGGATTTCAAACACACAAAGAGCTGTGATTGGTCCATAATGGTGAGCCAATCATAGTGCTCTATCTGCTTAGTGAACAAATCACAGAGCTTTATCCGCTTTGTGGGCCAGTCAGGGCACTCTATATGCCTGGTGGTTGGGATGATGCAACAGAGTGAAACAAGATGGCAACAGCTAGTTTGAAACGGCTTTTACATCAATTTTAGACAATTAGAACTTGGGCTTCATTAGAATCAGGAGCAGATAGATGTATTTAAGTGGTTTTTTTTTTTTTTTAGAAAAAATTATGTGTTTTCTCCTTCTTCTACTGTAGACCGCCTCATTTACCGATGGCTGTTGCGGTGAGTATGTCACATTCATTGTCCAGTAGCATGCGGAGATCATTTGAAAGACAACGGTAGAACGCGCCCCACAACCGAGAGCCGTTAATGGAGCATTGCCAGACTAAATAATACATTTATTTAGTCTGGCTTGCCAGGCTAGAGAAGGCTCTGTGTCGGTACCAGATCGGCTCGGGGTCCTGCGCCTGCTGATGACGTCACATTACAGCAAATCCAGTCAGCTTTCACACTTAAGTTTTGGAAAGGCATCAGCAGTTTTGTTAATATTTCCAAAATCAAGAGTTTTTGAGGTTCTCTGTTTATCAGTTGATGTCAATGCTTTTATTTTACATTTCCTTTGGAAATTCAAACATGTTTTCTCAGTAAAGTGTTGAATTTTTGACTACAGGACTATAACCGCTAAGACAACAATTCGTTCTGACCAATCAAAAGCATCATTGTCAACATGCAAACCTGACCAAGAAGGCGGCGCGTGAACAACGCGAGCCTCAGTGTCTCTCCAGAATCTGTTATTTAGCGGTTTTTTTATCTACTTTTAACCGGATTGTTCATCCAGAATTGCGGTGCGTTGCGTTGCTGACCTACAGCAGACAAGAGATTCTGGACATCTGGACTTATAACTCCAACAGTTTCATCGCCGATCTCCGACTCATCCCAGAGATCTCCAGAACACTGGAGGCCCCCCCCCCCCCCCCCCCCCCCCCCCCCCCCGGCCGGGCAGAAGTGCATGCAGGCGGGGCCGAGAAGGTAAACTAAGGCGAGGTGGGCGTGGAGGGCTACGGGCCAATCTAAGGCTAACACCACATCGGCTGCCTTTACCCAGTATCTTCCTCGCCAATGTCCGTTCTCTGGCATACAAAATGGATGAGATACGGCTCTCCTTACAGACTACAGGATCACCAAACCCTCCCCCGCATCCTCTGATGTTTCCTTCCTCAACGAGCTCAACAACTTTTATGCTCGTTTTGAGTGAGGGAACCTCACAACCACAACCATAACAGACATGACGCCAGACCACCAACCTCTGACTCTCCCCCACCGATGTACGAGCGGTGCTGAGCAGGATCAATGTCCACAAGCCTGCAGGCCCTGATGGCATCCCTGGGCGTGTTCTCAGAGCGTGTTCTGGGGAGCTCACAGGAGTGCTCACAGACATATTCAATCTGTCCTTGGCCCATGCTGTGGTACCGGCCTGCTTCAAATCCATGTCCATCGTCCCGATACCCAAAAACTCACACCCATCTAGCCTCAATGACTACTGCCCGGTAGCACTCACCCCCATCATCACTAAGTGCTTAGAGCAGCTGGTCTTAGCACACTTCAAATCCTGCCCCCACCCTGGACCCACACCAATTTGCATACAGCCAGAACAGGAGCACAGAGGATGCAGTCTCCATTGCACTGCACTCTGTCCTCTCACACCTGGACAACAACAACACCTACGCCAGAATGCTGTTTATAGACTTCAGTTCAGCATTCAATACAATCCACCCCTCACAACTCATCAGGAAACTGACAGACCTGGGGATCAGTTCCCTCACCTGCAAATGGTTACTGGACTTCCTGACCAACCGCCCTCAACATGTCTGACTGGATAACCGCATCAACAATCACAATGAACACTGGTGTACCACAAGGCTGTGTGATGAGCCCTTTCCTCTACTCCCTTTTCACCCACGACTGCAGACCTGCTGATGGTTCCAACACCATCATTAAGTTTGCAGATGACACCACGGTGATTGGCCACATCAGTGACAACGATGCGATCGCCTACAGGGAGGAGGTGGACCGTCTGACTGAGTGATGCGACACAAACAACCTACTGCTCAACACTGAGAAGACTAAGGAGCTCATCGTGGACTACAGGAGGAATGCTGACTCACATCCACCCATCCACATTAAGGGGACGGCAGTGGAGCATGTGAGCAGCTTCAAGTTCCTGGTAGTCCACACCTCTGAGGATCTCACCTGGACTATCAACTGCTCCAAGCTGGTCAAGAAGGCTCAACAGCGCCTCTTCTTCTTGAGGACTATGAGGAAGAACAACCTGTCCTCAGACATCCTGGTGAACTTCTATCGCTGCACCATCGAGAGCATCCTGACCAACTGTATAACAGTCTGGTATGGGAACTGCTCCGCCTCGGACCGGAAGGCGTTGCAGAGGGTCGGGAAAACTGCCCAGCGCATCGCCAGAGCACCACTTCCTGCCATAAAGGACATCTACAGGAAGCGGTGTCTGAAAAGGGCTAGGAAAATCATCAGAGTCCACAGTCACCCATCACATGTACTGATCACCCTGCTGCCCTCTGGGTGCCACTACAGGAGCCTCCGGACTAAGACCACCAGGTACCGGAACAGTTTCTTCCCAACAGCTGTAAGACTCCTGAACTCTGCCTCCTTACATATGACCCACAATAAACTCAAGTACTGCTTGTATTAATTACAGCCTGTACATACTTATAGTTATAGAATATTCATAACATACTTCATACCGCGTACATTATAACATACGTAATAGATCCATTTCTGTAATATACTTAGACATCTATATTATTGCTAACATATATTGTAATACATCTATATCACGGCTAAAGCACTTTCTGGGTGGATGCAAACTGCATCTCGTTGCCCTGTACCTGTACATGTGCAATGACAATAAAGTTGAATTCTATTCTATTCTAACGTAACTTTTACGAACGAGGTATCGTAACTTCCGTCTTACGTTCAGCCAATCATCTACTGTGACGTAATTTGTTGGCGCAGGACCCGAGCCGATCTGGCTTCCTGAGCAGATCTGGTACAGACACCAGTCCCCCCTTGATCTGAGTTTAGAGCGGGGGACATGCAGCAACTCCTGCTCAGCAGGAGCGAAGGGCCCGAGTGGGGACACGCCACTGCAGCAGTTCAAGCAAGATATGGGGGAGCAGTGCTCTGCAGCACCCTGAACACATGGAGGACGATCTTAAATCTTGCATGATAAAACACTGAGAGCCAGTGCAGAGAAGCTAGCACTGGCGTGATGTGGTCTCTCCTTCTGGTTCCAGTCACAAAATTGCAGCAGTGTTTTGGACTGGAGTCGTGCAGTAGTAGCTTGACTCAGTCCAGCATACAACACATTGCAGTAGTTGATGCGGGACATGATAAAAGTGTGTACTCTGGACAGGAGAGGCTTTATCTTGGACAGCCGTCTAAGCTTACAAAACATGCTCGAACAACCATGTTTATTTGTGCATCAAATCTAAGGGCTGCTTCAATTTTCACCCCTAAATTAGTGACCACAGTCTTTTTGTATTGTTTAATGGAATCACGATCACTTTCATCACCTGCTCCAGCTCTTTCACTAGGGCTGAGTATTATAACCTCAGTTTTAGACTCATTTAGGAAGAGGAAGTTAGCAGCCATCCATGACTTAACTTCCATTAAACGGTCCAATAACACAGATACAGAGCCTTCTGCTCCCCGAGAAAAAGGCAAATAGATCTAGCAGTCGTCTGCATAAAAATGGAACTTAACACCATGGCGCAGAAGGAGGACCCCCAGGGGCAAGATGTATAGTGTAAACAGAAGGGGGCCAAGGACAGAGCCTTGGGGTACCCGTATCAGAGACTTTCCCAGGCCAAAGATGCTTAACCCATCCACACACAAAACCTCATTTCATCAAGATATGACCTCATCCATTGAAGCGCCATCCCTGTACTCCCCACCCAGTTTTGTAAACGATCCAGCAAGATGTCATTGTCCACCGTATCAAAGGCAGCAGTCAAGTCCAGTAGGAAAGGGGGGAGGGGGCACTGGGACCACTGGGACCAATGAGACAGGTGGTGAGTCTAGGATTGCAGCACAAATATTAGAGACTTTTTCCACAAAGTAATGGAGGAAGTCCTCACGATTTATCTAGCCTCAGAGACAAATATAATACAAATGTTTTAAATGGCAAATGGTCTGTGTTTGTATAGCACCTTCATAGGGTTCTACAACTCCCCAAGGCACTTAACAACACAGTCATTCACACACACGCTGGGGGGATGAGCTATAATGTAGCCACAGCTGCCGAGGTGAGGCCTGTCCAACGCTGGCGCCACTGGTCTCTTCTTATTTAATTCTCTGTATGTAGGGATTTAAGTTCCTTGGTTTTGTCAACAAATGAGTAATTTCTTTCCTGAGAACTTGGCTCACATCTCAAGAGGATGAACATCACCGTTCAACCTCCCGTCAGACCGTAACTGTTCACGAAACCCATCAATGAACAGAAAGTGCAACAGCTACTAAAATACTGGGGAATCGTCTATTTAAACCACCTTTCTGTTCTACATAACTGAGAAATAGTTGGAGAAGCACAAGATGGATGTTTGGAGATGAACTTATGATTTTATCAAGTATTTGCAAAAAAACAAAACAAAAAAAACAACAATACTGCATCAGCAGAAAAGGCCAATGGTAAACAAATCTGTCCATAAAGTAGTCTGGACTGTGGCGAGATGACAAACAGCTGAGGGATCTGACAAACCAAACTGAAAACTTTGATGAAACCAGAACTCAGAACACAGACATGAACAATATTTCAAACTGCAGACATTAAAAGGGAGAAAGGCATCGACAGCAATAATAAAAGCTAAATCACATTTATAAATCACTGATAGCCTTGGTTTTTAACTAGCTCTAGAAATTACATTTTAGTTAAGAGAAATAAATAGTTTCATTACTGAAGCTACACAATTATTCCAATCTGATGAAATTTCACATTTTAATGAAAAGTTTCTCACCAGCGCACCCCGTTGATTCAGTCCAGGCTCCTTCCCTACAAGTAGCAGTGAACGTTTCTCCATTCCCAGTCTGGCATCTGTATCGGACCTGGTCATTTCTATTGTAGCTGTCTTTTACACCATAAGTAATGACTGCATTTTCAAAATCAGGATGTGGACATGGTACTGATGTTGCTAAAAGCAAAAGAGGGAAAAATAATTATTTGCACTGAATTCTGCTTGTTACATAATAAAGAACTTTGCTCAAAATGCATGCATTGCTTTTTTATAACGTAATTCTCTGTAGCTATGGATGTCTGCTCTGTGGTTTTATCAACAAATGGGGTTTATGCCTCAGAACTGTCGTCACATCTCATATGGACGAAACCCGTCAATGATCGAAAAAGAAGCAGTTTGATCCAACAGCAGGTCACGTGTCTAAGAATCCTTGGGTAAGATGCTGAACACTGAAAATGACTCCCTAGATACCATGAAATGGCAGTCCACTGATCGTCAGGGTCAATGCAGAGAAAACATTTCCCCGATGGGACCAAAGGAAAAATTGTATTTTTAATTTTGATCTCGATCAAGAACAAAAGAAATAAAAGTAACATTGATTTTTGTCTTTGAGCACCTCACCTTCTATCACCTTTTACTCAGTAAGATCTCAGGGAGCTGATCTAAATCCAAACTAAACTAATTTGTACAATTTTTTTTTCATACAAGGTACAAAGATTTTATTTGTTTCAACAAAATGATCATGAAAAAATATTTATTTGTATTTTCAGAAAAACAACTGAAATGTAAACTCTGCAGTACCTCGGCAAAGTGGTTTTGGTGTCCAGCCATCTCTGGTGCATGTGGCATGTTGAGCTCCATCTGTTCTCTCATAGCTCCAGGCACAGCTATAGCTCACAGTGTCACCTAACCTGTTTCGGCCCCAGGTGTTACGATTGGTAGTCCAGGATAAATTATCTTCTGGTAGATGACCTGAGCAAGTAACCTCTAGAACAAGAGAAACAAAAACAAAATATAAACACACACACACACACACACACACACACACACTGAACATACATGTAAACTAGAGCTATTCTAACTCTACACCTGAATTAAAGGTGTCTAGCATGAGATTTTATTCTCATTTCTTCTCTTTAAACTTTCAACCTTCTGATCACCGGACAAATCTGTGGTGTGAGTTAACGAGAGCTGTTCGTGCTCAGAAGCAAACCTGAATGAACTAGAGATGTTTTGTAAAGAAGAATGGTCCAAAATACCTTCAACCAGAATCCAGACTCTCATTAGAAGCTATAGGAAACGTTTAGAGGCTTTTATTTCAGCAAAAGGAGGATCTAATAAATATTGAGTAAATTTTTTTGTAGTGCCCAAATTCATGCACGTGCCAAATTTTGTTTACAAGCTTATTGCATACTTTCTGTAAATCCTATAAACCTAATGTGACTTCTCAAATATCAGTGTGTGTGAAAATTTTATCTTAACAACCAACGATATCGACAATTTATAAAGGAAAATCATGAAGATTAACAAGGCTGCCCAAACATTCACATCCCACTGTGTGTGTGTGTGTGTGTGTGTGTGTGTGTGTGTGTGTGTGTGTGTGTGTGTATATATATATATATATATATATATGTGTGTATGTATATATACACACACACACACACACACACACACAGTATCCTATACATACATGATGTAGGCTACACTAAAATATTCATTATGATTCACCAGAAGAAGTTGAGCATTTATTCTATAATCTGGCTCATAAGCTCATATTTTCCATACCTTTACACACGGGCCAGGTGTCCCATTCTCCATCAACTTGACATGTGACGACTGCCTCAGTAGTTTTATCGTTTATAATCCAGTATCTCTCCCCACACGTAACTCGCACCGTTTGCCGATGTGAAACGACACTGTTTTGTGTACTGTAAGCTGTTCCCGGTGGTGGTGGCTGAGACAGTTCACAGGTTATCTCTAGATGAAATATGAAAATAAAAAGATTATATATTTATCTGAGTTTTTTATCTGATAACCACACAAACCCAACGATCTGATCTAGCTTGTGATACATGTTTACCTTGAGTAGACTTACCTTTACAAGCAGGTGTTGGTGCCCATTCTGCGATGCCACGCTGTCCTAGTTTTTGGCATTTTGGTTGTCTGTTATCAACCTTTTTAAATCCATGGTTACAACGAAAAGTCAACCATTCATCTTTCTTGTACTCCTGACGATTCCCTTCTACACGGCCATTTTCAATCACAGGGGCATTACATTTGATATCTGTTGTCAAACACAAGAGGTTACCGTTTTCTGATCAGTGAAAATGTTGGGACGGATTTAGAATTCAGTTTGTTTGTTACTGGATGAACTTCCTGTTATTTCTCATGTAGTTGTAGTGGTTTCTGATATCCTACCGTACCTTTACATTTTGGAACTGTGCCTTGCCACTCGCCATTTGGATTGCAATGCATCACTCGTGATCCTTCCAAGAAAAGATTGCTGCTCCTGCAGCTAAACTGAACTGCATTACCAAAAGTGGCTTTGTCTAAATCCCCCACCACCTGCATGCCATCGGGCAAAGGGATGGATGGACATCTAATGGCTGTAAAGATGAACAATGGAAGCAAACTGTTACCTCTAAAAACATGGTGGTACATGCAGTGAAGGGACAAAAAATAAACAAAATAAAACAATCAATGATGAACAAGAGTCTGCTTCTAGACCTGCAGAAGGAGAAAAAAAGAAAGAAAAACAACACACAACAATACAACAGGAGCAAATAATCACTGCGTCAACCTGATGGAATATAAAATCAACATTGATTACTGAACAATCAAACGATAATAAATTCTTTTTTTCTCAATAAACTATATAAACGAATGTCTAATCGTGCTGTAGACATGTGTAGTCAATAATTTGGCACTTCAGGGCATCTTAGTTAACCTAAAACTGTCAGTGTTGCGCCCTCTTCAGGTAAAAACTCTGCACTGCATTAGGAATAAAATCTGCCATAGTCTTTGGCTACGTTAGCTGGTACATTATGATGTCACAATGCAGCTGTGATTCTGTGTGTGTGTGTGTGTGTGTGTGTGTGTTTGTTAGTTAGTGGCTCTGACCTCTCGGTCTGCCAGGCAACACTCTGGTAGAAGTGACTTGCTCTGGGGGTGATGGGGGTGTTTTGAGGGAAATTGTATGAACCTACCAGAGCAGGTGGGGAAGGGGGGGGGGAGCCACTGGCCAGTAGGGATGAGCGAGTACACCACTATCTGTATCTGTTCAACCAACTAAATTCTTTATCTGTAAGTAGTAAAGAAACTATTATAGAACAAGGGTTTCAATAAAATCAGAACATTAATATTTAAGTGCATGGATTAATACATCTGAACTCATGCAGTAGGAACTAGGAAATATGAAATACTAGAACCACACACAACTTTATGTATATTTTTTTATTTTAATTTGATTAAACTGATTTTTTTCTTAACGTTCTTGGTATTTTCCCACACAAAGTTAAACAAAACAATGTTATTGAAAGGTGTGTGTGTGTGTGTGTGTGTGTGTGTGTGTGTGTGTGTGTGTGTGTGTGTGTGTGTGTGTGTGTGTGTGTGTGTGTGTGTGTGTGTGTGTGTGTGTGTGTGTGTGTGTGTGTGTGTGTGTGTGAGAGAGAGAGATAGAGAGGGAGAGAGAGGGAGTTAAATAAATTTAAAAACCTGACCGGAGCGGAGGTAGTGAGTGACTGACGCAGCACGTCAGCTCTGTCTTGTCAAATGCTCCATGTAAGTTACGAAAAAAGTAGCTTTAAATATTCAACCGAAAAAGAGGCAAGCTGAAGAAAACCTAGGGAAAACTGAAGAAACGTGAGCAACAGTGAAGCAAGCACAGCGAGATCTGTTACTGTCTGTGTGTGTGTGTGTGTGTGCGTGGATGAGCCGGACGGACTGCGCTCCCGGCCGGCTAGAGAGTTTTGTGTGTAGGGAGGGTGGGCGCTCTATGTGACTGGCCAATCACAGAGCGTGAAGACAGTCAGTTACCCAATGAGGATTTTCCTTCAGCACGATTACAGATATTTCCAAGGTTTACTCGTTTCATGCTCGTATTTGTCAAAAATGTTTTATCTGTACCGGATACTCGTTTCATACTCGGCTCATCCCTACTGGCCAGTTTGTGAGCATTCAGTTTCCCCTGAACCAACCAGTTTCAACCCGCCACCGCACATAAAACGCAGCTTGTGCCCAACTTGGATTTTTTCATTCAGTGGTAGCATTCCAGCTACAAACAGATGAGGGTGCAACGCCCCAATGACACAAGTGTTCGCTGAAGAGAGAAATAACACAAACAAATTATTTAAAAGGTCAAATATGTTTAAAACACCAGCTCACACATCAGATCAGACATGTTCTCAACACAGAGGACTTCCTAATGTAACTAACTCATTAAATATCATCTAGTTTAGTTCAAACCCAAAAAAGGAAATTAGGATTAATATGAATTTTACATGAAATTAGTTGAAAATGATAGTCAGTCATGCAAATAAGTAGTTTAAAACTTCATCTTCGGATCATCTTTGGTGTTTATTTTTAAATATGTGAAAATGGAAATAAATCAAATAGTTTAATGTTTAACTCTATTTTAATTATTGCACCATATAAACTTAAAAAATTAAAAAGGAAAGAAAGTTGTTTTTTATCGTTGAATTTACTCAGACATAATCCCATAAAAATCTAAATAATCCCACTAAAAACTCTTACCATTCTGTGAGAATGAAATGTTCACATTTCCCCAAAGCTGGAGGAACGGGAGGATCAGCCACAGCTTCATGCTCTCTGGAGAAGTGTTTCTTTCTGGGGAGAACTTCACTGTTTGTCGCAGTCTGAGTTCTGATGAAGCTTTTAAAGGGTCAAACAAGGACTTCCCAGATGAACTTTGACCATTAAAAACAAATATTCTACCCTGTCATAACGGTATTCCTCCGTGTTTAATCTGATTCCAGATATCTACCCCTCAAGTCAAAATGTTTGATAGTTGTTGCAAAAACAAATAATTCTCTGTGATTTTAACCATAACCATGGGAGATATCAACTCTAAAAACAATAAATGTCAGTAAATATGTGAACATGTAAAAGAAACAATTTTAGTCAAAAATGAGGCAGAATATGACGTAGAAAATTTAAACCAAAAAACAAAAACAAAGGTTGGTTTAGCAAAGCCTCAGAAAAAAACCTTCATGCCTAAATCTTTACATCCAACAAAACGGCAAGAATGACTTTAAAATACAAATAAATATGAATTAAAATGTGCACAAAGCGAAATGCTAAATTTGTCTTGTTCTATTTTTGAGTTTAATCGAAAATTCCAGGAAATTTTAGGAATGTTTGAATTTTTTGCAAAGAAAAGAACATTCCAAATGTTGTTTATTTGAGATATTTGATGAAAATTATAAACATCACATCACTTTTACGCTTTCGGTTTAAAGCATAAAAATACAGCTATAAAAATAAGCAGGTTTTAATTATGTGGCGAGACCGTTTAATGCAAACATGCTGATATGCTAAAGTGAATTAAAGTGAAGTCCCATTAGTCGCCACACACTGGTGAAATACATCTCCACATGTGACCCTTCCCAGCGGGGAGCTGCAGCTGTGGCTGTGCTCGGGAACTATTTGGTGGTTTAACCCCCAATCCCAGGACAGATGCTCCACCACTGCAGGTGGTTCAGAATGCCTCCAAACACACCCACATCACCCCGCTTCTCCTCCAGCGTTATTGGCTGCCAGTCAACCAGTGTTAATTTTGACAGGAAATTTTAATTTTATTTTAGTCTTAGTCTTTTGGCTAAACATTTATTTTAGTCTTAGTCCAATTTTAGTCATTAGATTTATTTTAGTTTTAGTCCCATTTTAGTCGATAAAAATAAGCAATTTTAGTCAACAAAATGCATATATTTTTTCTAATGAAGTAATTTTCTACTTTTGTATAGAGCACGGAAAAACTAGTGTAATTTAATACACAGGGTCCAAACTCTTAACCACCACTGATCAGATATAGCACACACAGCTAAGAACATAGAATATTTGAATAAAAAAAACACTTCACATGTTTAACTCTTACGTGTTTAATAAAAAACAAAAAGCACACTGGAAATTACAAAGGTGCTCTTTTTAGCAATTGCACAATAATAATTTACAAGAACAGCAAATTTAAACATGTTAACCCTGAGTCTATAGATATTCACTTGTTACAACACAGGCTCAACCAAACAGTGTGAATATTTATTTGGTGCGATTCATTTTGAGAAAAGCACTTCATGCTAGTGTGACCTTTGCTCGGTTGCGTTTCCCACAGTAGGATTGAGAAAGCAAGCAGCTGCTACAAGTGGGGAAAACTTGTCATCTGAGGGATCAAGTACCCAGGCAAAACGCTGGTTCACATTCCCTTCTATTTTACGTGCTAGAGCAGCAACATCTCGACTTGTGTTTTGTTCCACATCTGCCAGATGGCTGAGTAAATCAGAGCAGGGAGTATTAATGACATAGACATTGTGTCACTCTGAAGAGTTTGTGTGTGTTCAGCAAAAGGTTGCAAAAGTTCTTGCATTGACTTCAGCTTCTGCCACTCACTTGAGAGCAAGCAGTCCCATCCCATCTCGTTTGCTACTTCACAAACAGATTCTTTAACTTTGAGGAGACGTGCAACCATTTCATAAGTACTTGACCAGCGTGTGGGGCAGTCATTCACAACAGTTAGGCCGCACTCATCCAAAATCTTCTGTGCTGCGACTGATGACTTGCGAAAAAGTTTCACGATTGATCGGACTTTGTTCAAGACTCTGTTGATGCTTTCCTCGTTGTTTATTATGTGGACAACAAGCTGCAGCGTATGGACGACACATGGCATCCTGTCCATGCCCATGTCCTGACACTGCAGGTTTTCTGTCTCCTTGGAATCACTTTCACTTAGGATGGATGCATCTGGATCATCGGAGCTGGAATCTTCATCTTCTGGAGCACTATGTTTGAATGCTGCCACCATATTGCTACCATTGTCTGTTATTACGGTGAGAACTTTCTCATTTAGGAGCCCCCATTCTTGCATGCACTTTTCCACACAAGCCTCAAAGGACTGGGGGGTGTGTGGATGGTCAAGTTGTTCAAGAGCTAGCAGTAAGTGTTCTGGTTTTTGTTGTTCGACACAGAAAAAGCAGCAACTTATGCCAAGGAATGATGCTGTCAGTCCCTTTTTAGTCCACAGATCAGTCCCAGTACAGACTTTTCTGGCACTAGACAGTCTTTTCTTAAATGTAGCTTTTTTGTTTTCATAGTGTTTTTCAATTAGATTACTTATCTTGGTTTTCTTTGGCACAGTAAACTTCTTATCCAAACTTTCCATCATCAGAGTAAAATCCTCATCTTCTACTGTTGTGACCGGCAATCCTGTACATCCAATCCATGTAGCGATAGCCTCTTCTTTAATTTGTTGTTCTTTGGCATCACTCTTGTACTTTGTAGTACTTGTAAATGCATCCTCAATGTTCTGGTTGGACATTTTTGCCTTTTTGGTAGCTGGTTGGCCACCATCAGCAATGGTCTTCTGCAACTGCAAAAAAATAAAAATACACAATTAAAACATTGACTTTCTAACAATGATTTACCTGTTGCTTTTTGAGATTTCATACATTTTATATACAGTATATATATATATATATATATATATATATATAAAATGAACCGGTAAAACATCTGTGCGGGCTCGGTACTCGGATCATATTAGTGCAAACCAGACATTGTGAAAATTATAAACAGCCAACAGCATGCTTCACTTTACTGGTCTAGTCCTGGTTTAGAGCGCACGTACAGCGAGCGGCTGCGACCCAAAAAGTACCAGAGCCGCTCATGGCGCATGCACAATCATGCATCAACACTGCTCGCCCGCTATTTCCCTAATAACACACGTTATAGTCGTGAAAATACGGTACTTCCGAATTTTTGTCCCAACATGACAGAGTTGATACAGTTTTATTTGCCTGTATATTACTTTTCGGGTCGTCACATGTACATTTAAGTGGATTTACCTAGAAGAAAATGGCGAAGTGGCCATTCTGTAGATGCCTCTTCAGATTCGTTGTGTTCTTTCCTCGGAACGACAGTCCACACTCTCGGCATGTAGTTTTGGTAGCAATGTTATCATAAGAAAAATGACTCCACACATCTTCTCTTCTTTTTCGCCCAGCAGTTATTTTCCTCTACTCCTTCTTCTTATGCCGTCGATATGTTCAGTGAGCTATGTTTAGCATACCGCCGTGCATACCTGCCCCTTTATACTATTCGGGGTCTGTCTTCTCTCACATCCCACACGTTCACGGCACGCCACGCCCCTTGTCTTCTACTACGTTCGCGTCTCACAACAGCACAATAGTCGCACCGCACCATAGAGCGCCATGTCGAGGAGCGTCATCTTGGATTTTCGTCTCGTCTTTCATTCGTTGACTAAAAGTTTCAATCAATTTAATTATCGTCTTCGTCTTTTTCCAAGCTTTTATTTTGAATGTTTGTTTCATTTTCGTCTGTAAATATATTTTCGTGACAAAAAAAAGACGAAAATATTTTGTCAAAAAAATTAACACTGCAGTCAACTTCAGGGTTCATTTCAAGATCCTGGTTCTGGTCTTCAGGGCCTTCTCAGTCCCTACACCCCCAGCAGGTCCCTGAGGTCCAGTGACCAAAGCCTACTGGTTGTGCAGCACCAGGCTAAAGACCAAAGGTGACAGATCATTTGCTGCTGTGGCCCCCAGACTCTGGAACTCTCAGTGGACTCAGTGGTCTCCTTTAAAAAGCAGCTGAAGACTCACCGTGTGACCTTCGGTTCATCCTCTTCTTCCTCACTAGCTTTTCAAGTTGGTGTTGTTTCTTGTGAAGCGCCTTGTGATTTTTATCTTGAGAGGCGCTATGTCAAAAATCCTGTCATCATCTAAACAGTGAGATGTAATAATTAGATGCAGGCGCCGACAAGCATTTAAAATGAGTTAACGAAGACATTATTATCCTGGGCTGTTGTCCAAATATGGTCTTTGGAACATCTGGATTCAGATTCAGATTTTGAAAATCAATCAGAAAAAAGGTGAAAAAGAACTCAAATGTCATTAAGTTTTATTCTTCATTTAGATTTTAGTCATAGGACAAAATAAAAATCTCAGGGTTAAACTAGTTAAAAACAACACTAAGCTGTGAGGTAAAATACAATTTCATCAACATCAGACCTTCAGAAAAGAAATAGTTAGAAAAATGAGTTAGATGATTTTCATTAATATATAAACTGGAAAAGAAAAAGAAGCAAGCTGGTCATTTACATACATGTTTTTATCTGTTTAAGGAAAAAAAACAAAGACAAGTTTGAAAAAGCCTTTAATAATAAAACATGCAGGAGCAGAGGATTAAATGTGTTCATTGATATAAAGGATCTAAAATTATTCAGAATTATTAAACTTGTTGTTCTAATCAATAACATGTTTGTGTGTTCATATGTATCACACCAAAAGCTTTAACCACAGGTGGGCAGGTCCATCTGTCCATTGATGCACTGTTTACGCATTGGCTCTTGGTGAAGTAGTCTTGTTCCACGTTTACATACAAATGTCAGGTGATCTTCATGAGGCGCATAATATTTATCTCTGTCATTACGTGAAAATTCAATATTGTGTCCCTCCGTCATTTCAGCATTCACAGTGCATGGTTCTGTAAAAGAGCAAAAATGTCACGTTAGAGCACAAAAATTGCAAAAAATAAAAAGTAAAAAAAAAACCCTAAAGCAACAATTTTCTAATATTTTATGACAACAAAAGCATTAATTTAGAAATATATTAGATTTTTCTTTTACATAGTTCTAACTTTATAGGTCATTAATAACTAAAATTAATAAAGCATTCATTCTGAGATGTATTTTATTTTCTAGCCAAACTCAGATAAAATTCACACACAGCGTCAACAAAAATGTCCTCATTTTAAAAACATACAAGTTTAAGTGACTTACTCATGCATCTCATCTCTCCAGTCCACACACCATTGTTACACGTTTTAAACCGCCCACCCTTCAGAACGTACATGTTGAAACAGGTGTATTCAACAGTTGCACCATTTTCATATTGTTGTTTAGGGAAACCCACAGTGTCTCCATCTGTTAGAGATGGTGGACGCCCACAGCCTAAACGAATGAGGACAATAACACAGAGAATACAGTTTTAGGTGGTATTTAGTTACAGCAATCACATTATATCCTAAATGTGTCTGTATTATTTATATTTATAGATTCACTAGGATAAATACAATAAAGTTTATCTCTCACCAAATAGAATATTTACTAAAAAATCACAATGTAACCATAGACACATTACTTAGTGTGTGTGTGTGTGTGTGCGCGTGCGTGTGTGTGTGTCAGCTCTGTCTTCTTGATCCCCAGTGAGTCGTGGTGGATGGCTGCTTATACTGAGCCAGGATTCTCTGGACGTTTCTTCCTGTTAAAAGGGAGTTTTCCTCTCCACTGTCTCTAAATGCTTGCTTAGTATGAGGATTGCTGTAAAGACTCTTACACTCTGAAACTTTTTTTTTCTGATTGGCTTAATGAACTGACCTGGATTGGGATGTTTATTATGTGAAGTGCCTTGAGACGACTGTTGTCGTGATTTGGCGCTATATAAATAAACTTGAATTGAATAGAATTATATCTAGGGATGTCCCGATCAGGTTTTTTTGCCCTCGAGTCCGAGTCATTTGATTTTGAGAATCTGCCGATACCGAGTCCTGATCCCATACTTTCAATATGTAAAAAAATAAAGAAAAGGAAGAAACAGTTCCAGAATGTTCCTTATTTTTTATTTAATTACCTTTTTATTTTAATTTCTAACAACAGATAACTTCTGTGAGGTAGCTTGAACAATCAAGTAATAAATAACCTAAATTCTTCACTTTTGGACTTAATTGCAAATATAAAAAGGCTAATATAAAAACAGATAGCACTTCAACTTAAAATACCTGGCAGGGGTCTATTTTACCTCAGCCCCCAAAATGCTTAGATACGTCCCTGGGTATGGGACGGAGTTTTGAAGATGATCTGAATTGTATCAACGATATAAATACTACATGCTGATAAGTTATTGCTTCATACAGGTAGAAATGTGTAGTGGGATAAATCTACCCACATTTAATTTTTTAAGAACTTTGTTTTGTTTTCTTGGTTTTTATTTTCCTGTCTTCCTGTCCTGTCTGTCTCTGATCTTCCTGCATCTCCCAGTCCTCCAGAAAAACTCCTGCCTGCTTCCTTCTTTTTCACCTCACAAGTAACTTTTTAACTAGCAGATCAAACTGATCTATTGACCACAAAAAAAGCGGAGTGTGCGCCGCGCCACCCGGCTGCGCCAGTGACGAGCGCTGCAGCGCGAGCGCGTCCACGCGTCATGCTCAAATACAGACAGAACTTACCAGAGAGAAAATGAACGGACACGAACGACTGTGTGTTAATTATATATTTTTTGGTGACGCCACTTAGAAACTTAGAAAATGTTACTGTGGCCGTGTGCAGAACGCAGCTGGAGTTCATGAATAATCAGCGGTCTGCCTGCCGCTCTCTGCATCTCTGCTCAAAGGAATCCCCGCTACGCTGGGTCCATGTAAATAATATAATAAAGGTAGAAACTGGATCTTTTTTGTGCTCCTTCTGGGTGTGTAAGTTAAGGGCATCGGGGAGCCTGACAACCTTTAAGGAGAACCAAGTTGCTCTCCTGTAATTTGAACCCAGTATCCGACTCCGGATCGGGGCTTGGATCGGGAAGTAAAGCCCGAGTCCCGATCAGTCTGAAACCACGTGATCGGGGCCGATTTCCGATCATGTGATTGGATCGGGACATCCCTAATCATGTCCTATGTTAAAATGTTGAAATGCTTTATTACCTTTTTTGATTACCACCAATTTTCAAACCAACTGGGAAGACCCACCTGGTCTGACTGTCCAACTTTATTTATTTAGTAATTTAAGTTTTAAACTTTACCCAAAAACCGGTTACACGTGTGCAAAGGTCTATAGGTTTGGCTTAAATTCACCATTTTATCATCTCACTGGATGCCCTTCCAATTGCTTAGTCTCCACAAGGTGCTTACGCCAAGGTCTGAGTTTTCTTACAAGTTTTGAACACTCGTTTATTCAGTACATTTGCAGCGGTCTCTAGTGGGAATGAAGGCTTTGTGAATCGTACTCTATGGAAACAAAGGAACTAGAAACGAGCAACATGAAAGTTGAGCTTCGGACGGCAAAATTTGGAGTCTTAATTGCCGATATTTGGACATCTTGCCTCTGATTGGCTAACAGCAACATGACTACCACTGACTCCATTTGCTCTGCAATGATGATGTTTTATTTCCACAAATAACACAAACCTGGAGGGGTTCTGCTGTGTGGTGGAGTTGCTAATGCTAACAGTTAGCTTATGCTAGCTGAGATGTTCTACGCGCTTTCCTGGATGTTTTTTCATCTTCCTGGCACTTGCAGAGTACAGACGCTTCTCTTTTCGCTCCCTTATCTATTTTCCCAAGGCTCTTTGTCCTGTCTGCCCACAGAGCGCTTCTCTGCATTTCTTCTGAAAAACCCTACTTTTAACCATGGATTTGATAAATTGGTCATTCAAAACAATTGATAAGATTTTTTCAACAATGACAACGGAGCAGGGGGCTCCCACATGTCCACAGGGGACACACCCGGTGGGGTATATGCTGGATTCCTGGAGGGAATGGAAGATCATATGCCTCTCCCAGCTGTCCATTGAGGATGTCGAAGACGTGTAGATATTCGGCCTGATGATCACTGGATTTCTCCTGACTGGAGTGGGAGGATATCTGGTTTTCTGGAATTTTGGGAAGACGGGAACGATTGGAGGGCGACCCGCACCCACGGAAAGCACCGTCCGTGTGGAGACTTCACAGACTGGGACGTTACTTGAGGTGAATCGTAAGCTGGACAATGTTCTTGCTGCGATACCGGTATTAGTGCGCAAAATGGATGTCATCTCAGAGAGGGTCACCGGACGGTATGGACAGGTTTAAAACCCAAAACTGGCTTCACTGAAGGACTGGAATGATCAGTTTAAAGACTGAAGTCAGAGAGGAAAATTATCTCAGCCTGACCCAAATAAATTCTTGTTATCTGAATCTGATGCCCTGGTAGCCTTGAGCTGCAAGCAACTAAAGCCCCCACGAAGGAATGCAGACAGATGCTGTGAAAACCCGACACCCTCCCTCTCCCCCGCCTGCGGATTGGTGGACTTCAGCCTGGCGAGGTCATCAACCTGCAGGAGTCAATGTGCTCTGCGCTTCTCCCAGGATCTCCCTCCCACCTGTGGCTACAGTGGCCTTCCTATTGGAGTCTCATGTTGTGTTGTCTAAAGTCTGTTGCATATCTGTTTGAGGTGTTTTTTTGCAGAGCAAAGCTGCCCTCCTAGTGGGAGGGTAGCTGTGAAGTGCCTTTTTTTCCGTTCCTCCCAAATCAATTCCTCATGTTACCCTCTTATCTCTATTAAGGTAGCGCGACTCGGGTTGCGAATGACCACAGTCACCAATTCTTGTCATGTGTCTTGCCCATGTATGTCTGATCTCTGAATTGTGTGTACTGAAACTCTAATTTCCCTCTGGGATTAATAAAGTATTGAGTGATTGAAATCAACAGCCTTCCCTTTTGTGAGTCAAGATGGGTGAGTCCATGAGTGCGAATTCACGGTGTGATGTAGATCTGTCAGGATTTCCAAATGACCGATTATAATCAGAAATAATAATTAAAAATGTTTTCATAGTGAACCACACCTTTCAAGTTGTGCACATTTTCCCAAAAAGTTTTTTTTGTAAATCACAAAGTTGTGTAGAAAACTATTTTAAGGGGCAAAACTATGCCTGTGTGCTCATTTCTCCATAACAGAGGGAATAGTTTTAAAGCCAAATCAGAAAATCCACAAGCTTCATTCTTAAGAAATTGACCAAGTTCTTTATATGCACTTGGATAACTTGGTTCAAAACATCCATCCATCCATCTTCTGAACCCTCTTTGTCCACGTAAGGTCTAGTGTCTATCTCCATCAGTCAACGGGAAATCAGGCGGGTACACCCTGGACAGAGAGCCAGTCCATCGCAGGGCAACACAGAGACACACAGGACAAACAATCATGCACACACACACACTCACACTTAAGGACAATTTAGACAGACTAATCAACCTTACAGTCATGTTTTTGGATGGTGGGAGGAAGCCGGAGCACCCGGAGAAAACTCGCTTGCACAGGGAGAACATGCAAACTCCATGCAGAAAGATCCCAGGCCGGGAATCAAACCCAGGACCTTCTCGCTACAAGGCAACAGCTCTAACCACTGTGCCACTGCACAGCCCATTAGTTAAAAACAGTTATGCTTAAAAGAGCTGAATAAAATTGGCATTTGGACCCAAAACAACAGTAAACCTACTTGAGCATGTTGGGAACGGTTCTTTCCACTTTCCTGTTTGTAAACACTCAATTTCTTCAGCTCCCCTTAGATTATATTCATTTGGGCAGTAGAAACGTAATGTTTGTCCCCCAGGCACTTGGTTATTAGCTGGTCGATCTCCAGATATTTTCAGACCCGTGGGCAGGTCCCCAACTGTACAAGACAGAGCTGAGTGAAAAATACAGAGAGACAAATGAGTTAAAATCCAACAGGGATTAATGCTTGGGTCTCTTACTGTCACACCTTTAAAGTTGTGCACATTTTCCCGACATATTTTCTTTATAAATCACAAAGTTTGTGCAGAAAATGATTTATGCAATTTTCAGATCTCGTTTTGTGCATAAGCTAAATGAGTTTTGAATTTTTAGTTTAAATTTCACAAACAAAACAAAATGTCTGAACACATGCAGGCTCGTTTTGAGTTCCAACCTCAGATAAACTTTAAAGTATGGAGTTTGGCTTTTCAAGTTTCAGTTTCATTTTAAATCAAAGCCTAAAAAGTGAAACGAGCCTCGTGAGATTCTTACTTTCACACGTAGGAGGTTGGCCACTCCATATTCCATCATTCAAACATTCAATTGTCGTGTTCCCAGTGATGGAGAGCCCTCGTAGACAACCAAATGTTAATATTTCTCCTTTCCTTCGTAAATATCTTCCTTCTGCAGGTTCGCTGATGATTACATTGTCTGTTAATACCAGAATTGGACATTTTTCTGTTGAAAAGAACAGAACATATTATAATGTTGACTTTACAATATAAACAATAGTTTAATGTGAGATATAATTTTACATTAAATTTGTACAATTTACATAACAAATAAACCACAGGCTTTAGAGGTTCCATCTACTCCCTCACATTTAAAAACACGTCTGCTTTGAAAGAAACCAGGGCTGGGTGATATATCAATATTTTAAAAATATCAATATATTGATATAATTTCAAACAAGAGACAAGATGACTCAGTATCATTTATAGCAGGGGTCACCAACCTTTTTGCAACCGAGAGCTACTCAGTGACCAGTGTGTATTTTTCCTGGCAATGGGGGCAGTAGATACCTAAATCATTACAAGCAAGTAGTATTTTTGTGTTGGAGTAAGGCCTTTCCAACAGATGCCCATTAGAGCTAAAAAAAGCCCTGGGAAGTGCAAACCTCAGCAAAATGACATGCGCATCAGACACATTAAATGATATTACATAAGAAAACTCTCATGGGATGTAATAGGGCTGGAGACCAACAGCCAGTAACTCAATGTCTTTTGTGCAAAGTTGTGTAATGGTCACCACCTCTCATTTATAGTCACAGACTCCCACCTTTGTGCTCAACGCTCCGCGCTCCTGTCGGCCCGCGTGAGTTTAAATTAAAACATTTCCTTAAAAAGCATCAGGCTACACAGTCTGTAGTCCTACTGCAGCCTGGTCATCGCTGTGAGCTCATCACTCTTATTGGGCAGAGAACGGACATTACCCACAATTACGGAGAGTAAAAATGGTCTACGTTTCCGTTTCCTCTGCTGGAGCTTACATCCCGGTCAGCAACTTCTACGTTTACTCCTTAATTCTGGAGGCAGAATCATCTCTTCTGTGGAGAAGAGAGACGGTGTCTGCAGCACCAACAGCTGGTGTAAACAATAAGTGGATTGGTGGGAGCTAGCGGAATTTTCCAGTGCGTTCCCAACAATTTCAGAAAACAGAATAAGGACAATCAAACACGCAACACAAGACAAGCAAAGAATAAAAAAAGGGAGTAAAGAAGTGAGAGCTGCTGTAGCTGGCTGCAGGTCATGCTGCGCCACCTTAAAAAAATCGATATAAATATACAACCAGTGTATTTGTGAAGTTAGCAGGTGTGGCTGCCACTAGCCGCTAGCTTGCTCCCTCTCTAAACGGTCATTACACGTATTCTCATGCATCTGCTAGATCATGGTTAATGTTCTGCCCTAATCTTTGCCTTTGGCTTCATGGCTTTTAATTATTTGGGGAAGTTTGTTTGTGTTTTAGCGAACTTTTTCACCATAGCTGCTGGCAGAGATGTGTAAATCCCGCATGTGTAAAGAGATGGGCCAAACTCCTTCCGTGTAAACAGGAAACAGGTACGGAGAGCTGCAGCGATAAGACGCAAAGGTATAAACCTACCTGTGTGTTAACAGACAGCTGTACCAGTGTTTCTAAAGCTCTGACTGAAAGAGGCTGGCACCAAGGTTACTGTTTGACAAGAATCAATACATTTTTATGCATATAATCTGATGATGAATTTTTGTGTACATTTTCTCAAGAATGGAGTTAACTTAAATATTTTACAGGACGAAAAAAAATCAAGATATTTATTGTATATCAGAATTCAGCTAAAATATATCGAGATTTACAGAAGGATTTGTTTTTGATTATTTTTAAGATTAGACTTCAAAATGACCATGTAATTCTTATTTATTTGCATTTCAATAACTGAGTTGGTTAAATGCAGATATGCTTAAAAGAGCTGAGTTAAAGTTAGAATATGGAACATTTTAATAAAAAGCTATAATAAACCTCCACAGGGTGTTGGAGGTGTGTAGAATGAATGTACAGTATCTCCTTTAAAAGCTATATTTAAAAAGTTAAATAATTCATTTTTATTCTGTCGGGCACAACGCTGTTTATGTTTCCATCTACTAGCCACTGGAGCGCACCGTTGCGCTATAAAGTCAGCTCAGCAAAGCAAGGTTGGGACTGTGTAAAATGGTAGACTTGACAAGTTAAGCAGCTGATTCTGAGCCCAGAAGATGTTCTAATGATAAATACTGTTACAAAATAAACTTATTAGTAGAAATTAGTCATTATCCTGTATGATTTGTCTCTAAACATGGTGCTGGAACATGTCAGCAGTGAACCAACAACGGCTGGAAAAGTAGTCATGTTGTTGCAATACCACTTCTGAACACCAAAGTTCACCAGATTGTCCGTGTTCAATAGTCCACGTTTAAATCAGCATTATGACGCAAAACAACAGTAAACCTACTTGAGCATGTTGGGAACGATTCTTTCCACTCTCCTGCTTCTGAACACTCAATTTCTGCAGCGCCCTCAAGATAATATTCATCTGGGCAGTAAAAACGTAATGTTTGTCCCCCAGGCACTTGGTTAGTAGTTGGTGGATCTCCAGCTATGCCCAGATGTGTGGGCAGGCCCCCAATTAGACAAGGCACAGCTGAGAAAAAAATACAGAGAGACAAATAAGTTAAGATTTACCAGGGTTTGATGCCAGGGTTCCAGGACTTACACACACACACACACACACACACACACACACACACACACACACACACACACACACACACACACACACACACACACACACACACACACACACACACACACACACACACACACACACACACACACCGGGGTGGTTGAGATCCACCCGGAGTTCCTTAAGGCTGGATGTTGTGGGGCTGTGTTGGCTGACAGTATCGCGTGGACATCTGGGTCAGTTCCACTGGATTGGCAGACTGGGGTGGTGCCCCCGCTATTTAAAAAGGGGGCTGCAGGGTGTGTTCCAACTACAGAGAGATCACACTTCTGAGCCTCCCTAGTAAGGTCTATTCAGAGGTTCTGGAGAGGAGGGTCCACTGTATTGTCAAACCTTAGATTCAGGAGGAACAATGTGGTTTTCATCCTGGCCGTGGAACACTGGACCAGCAATATACCCTTAAGGGGTCCTGGAGGGTGCGTGGGAATTTGTCAGGGCATTAAACCCTGTCCCTCTGGGGGGAGGGAGGGGGGGGGGGGGGGGGGGGGAGGCTTGTGGGAGGTACTCCTGGAGTTTGGGGTACCAGGCCCTCTGATACGGGCTGTTAGATCCTTGTATGACCGGTGTCAGAGCTTGGTCCGTATCGCCGGCAGTCAGTCGGGCTCGTTTCCGGTGAGAGTTGGACTCCACCAAGACTGCTTTTTTATCACCTATTCTGTTCAACGTTTATGGACAGGGTTTCTAGTTGCAGCCAAAGTGTTGAGAGGATCTGTTTTGGTGGCCTAAGGATCAGGTCTCTGCTTTTTGCAGATGATGTGGTTCTGTTGGCTTCATCAGAACATAATCTCCAGCTTTTGCTGGAGTGATTTGCAGCCAAGTGTGAAGCAGCTGGGATGAGAATCAGCTCCTCTAAATCTGAGACCATGGTCTTGAGTCGAAAAAGGGTAGAATGCCTTCTTCAGGTCTGGGATGAGGTCCTGCCCCAAGTGGAGGAGTTTAAGTGTCTCGGGTCTTGTTCACGAGTGAGGGAAAGATGGAGTGTGAGATTGGTGTTGCATCTGCAGTGATGCAGGCATTGTGCCAATCTTTTGTGGTGAAGAGAGAGCTGAGCCAAAAGGCAAAGCTCTCGATTTACCGGTCGATCTATGTTCCTATCCTCACCTATGGTTACAGGCTTTGGATAGTGACCGAAAGAGCGAAATCGTGGATACAAGCGCTCTAAATGGGTTTTCTCCGCACGGTGGCTGGGCTCTCCCTTAGAGATAGGGTGAGAAACTCAATCATCCAGGAAGGATTCGGAGTAGACCCGCTGCTCCTCCACGTCCAGAGGAGCCACTTAAGGTGGCTCAGGCATCTGGTCAGTATGCTTCCTAGACTCCTCCCTGGTGAGGATTTCTGGGCACGTCTAATTGGGAGGAGACCCAAGGGATGACCCAGGACATGCTGGAGGGACTATGTCTCTCAGCTGGCCAGGAAATGCCTTGAGATTCCCCCGGAGGAGCTGGCCCAAGTGGCTGCGGAGAGAGAAGTCTGGGCCTCTCGGCTTAGGCTACTGCCCCCGTGACCCGACATTGGATAAACGGTTGAAAAGGCCAAAATTTTGGACACACTTTCTCATTCAATGTGTGTCTTTATTTTCGTGACCATGACAATTTACAAAGGCGCCAACAAGTCTTAAACCCTTTTCAGATTGACATTCTGGAATATTTGTGGACAATTCAGTCCGGTTTTTACCCAGAACTGTGTTTTCAGACACACCACTTTTGTACCGGAACTTGTCCTTTCAGCTGCCTTCACACTGAAGGGGGCTCTAGACACCTCTGGAAACTCCTTCAAGACTGTTGGAAAACCATTTCAGGTGACTACCTCTTGAAGCTCATCAAGAGAAAGTCAAGATTGTGCAAAGCAGTAATCAGAGTAAAGGGTGGGTATTTTCAAGAAAATAGAATATAACGCATGTTTTTAGTAAATTTACCCTTTTTGGTCAAGTACATAACTCCACATGTGTTCATTTATAGTTTTGATGCCTTCAGTGGGAATCTACCCATGAAAATAAAGAAAACACATTGAATGAGAAGGTTTTGCCTGTACTGTGTGTGTGTGTGTGTGTGTGTGTGTGTGTGTGTGTGTGTGTGTGTGTATATGTATATATATATATATATATATATATATATATATATATATAATTATTTTTTTTTTTACATTTTTTTTTCTTCTTACCTGGACATTCTATTGATTTGGACCACAAGCCATTGCTACACGATGCAGTTCCCTCGATAACTTCTCCAGGTGCATTACACTCATAGTTGATGCTCTCACCTTCCTTGTATGTGTCTTTTACATCAGACCGAATCATCAATTTTCCATCTTCTAAATTCTCACAATATCCTAAAAGAAAAGAAATGAGTAGATGTTAATCCCAGGTGGCAATACAATCTTAATTTAGACATGTTCTTCTTTAAAAGTATGTCTTGTTTTTCTTAGTAACCAATTGGTATTACTTTTGGTTTGAGAAAAGCAGTTCATTAGTGCTTAGAAAAGAAATGTACTTGGATGGGTAAAGAGTTCCAAAGTTTGGGTGCAGCATGAGAAAAGTAAGTAAGTAAGTAAGTAAGCTTTATTTATATAACACCTTTCACAGACAAAAAGGTCACAAAGTGCTTCACAAGTTAGAACGACACATAAATAGGCTACTATAAAATACAGTCACAATATAGATAAAAAGTCGTATACAGCCAATCCGCATACAAAATATGTTTAGAATGCCCGGAGAAACAAATGGGTTTTCAGATTTCTCTTAAAAGCATGAACTGAGTTGAGTGAACGTAAGAACAGAGGTAACTCATTCCAGAGCCTTGGCGCGACGGCCTGGAATGAGCGATCACCTCGTGTCTTGAATCGAGTACGGGGGACCATAAGAAGATTTTGATCCAACGATCTCAACCTTCGAGAAGGCATGTAAGGACAGAGCATGTCTCAAACGTACAGTGGAGCCTGACCATGCAGCGCTCTAAATCTCAGCACAAGAATTTTAAAATTGATGCAAGAAGAAATTGGGAGCCAATGAAGAGCTTTTAGAATGGGGGTAATGTGAGCTCTTCTGTTGGCACGGCTCAGTATTCTAGCTACACAGTTTAGAACTTGTTGTGAACATTAAAAGTGAAAGAGTAATTCTAAAAGCTCATAAAGCAAAGAAAAAAAAAACTTCCAGACGACCATAGTAGTCATGTGAGATATTAGTTTTTGTACATACGAACACAGGAGATGGTCTTCTTTTCCCATGCTCCATCATTGCATCTAATTGTTTCTCCTCCATTTATCATGTAACCTTTGCGGCATTCATAAGTGACAGAAGACTCGGATAAATACTCCTTCTGATAAGGTTCCATAATAACTGCATTTGTAACGCTAGGTGGTGGCGGGCAGGGCTTACTAACAGCTGAAAGACATGAAAACATAAAGTTATAGCAGTGTTCATAAAACAACTTCAGTTCATTTAAACTGTGATCAACAAAACTCACGTTTACAGATAGTTTCTACTTCAATTCCTACTAAATTCCATTCTCCATTTAAACAGTTCAGATGAGTCGTCTCAGTTCTGTAGCCTTCATCACAAACGATCTCTAATCTTCCAGGAGAGGTTGTTGCACGTCCATTAGGAATAACGGGAGCTTCTCCACACTGTGTTTTTACTAAAGGATGTGATTCCAAACAGTTACATGAATATTGTTAGACACCAGCAACAGCTCCCTATCCGTGCACATAATTACCAGTAAGTAGAATATAGAGATGAATTACCTATACATGGATGGAGAGCAGGCCATTCACCATTAACACATGTAGCTGCATCCCACCAGCTTTTGGCAGAAAGTTTATAGTTTTCATTACACGAGTAATAAATCACTTTGTTGTTGAAAGGGCCGACTGCAAATCCATGTTCAATAGGAGGTATTTTGCACACTACAAATACAAGAGTTCAAAAAGCAAAACCAAGAAAAATGTTTATAAACTATCGACAGGTAAATGACTAAGGCCTAGTCCACATGTAGCCGGGTAAAAAAAAAAAAAACGAATATCCGCCCCTCCAAAAACTTGCATCCACACCACCTCGTTTTAAAAAGAAACTGTCCACACTTACCCGGATAAATACGTTGTTAAGGACATGCCAGACCTGTAGGCGGCAGTACTTCCCCTGTTCTTAACCTCGTTCTTCGTCTGCGGTCTTCCGCAAGGAGCAGTAATTCCGCTTGCAAAAACAAACAAGCAAAAAGCGCTTGGACAATTGATAAAGCGAGCGCAGCTCTGAGGGCATCCATGCTGTCGGCTAGTGTAAACACAGGTCGCACACGTGATGTCAGCATTTTTTTGTCGCGGAAAGTGACGTTGCAGACCTTAAAACTCCGGTTTTGTCTGTCCACACGCAGACACCCAAAACGGAGAAAACGCAGATCTTCACTTTGGCCGGAGTTTTTAAAAAGATCAGTTTTCGTGTGAAAAAACTCCGTTTTCGTGTGGATGACAGGCCAAAACGTAGAAAAATATCTACGTTTTGGCAGATCCCCGGCTACGTGTGGACAGGGCCTGAATCACTGATGGCCTTGGTTTTTAACTTGCTCAAGAGATGACATTAGTAGTTAGGAGATATATTACTGAAGCCACCCAATAACAATATCAATTTTAATTAATAGTAATTTATCATTTTTATAAAGATTCTTACCAGCACACTTGTTTGCTTCAGCCCAGGTTCCTTCCTTACAGATAGCAGTGAAAGTTTCTCTATTCCCACTCCTGCATCGGTATTGGACCTGGTCATCACTGATATAGTTGTATTTTGCACCATGAATAATGTCTGCATCTTGAAAATCAGGAGGTGGACATGATGCTAAAAGCAAACAGACAAACTAGTAAAAATGATTTGTACTGAAGTCTGTCTACAATGTTTTTTTTAAACTAACAGAACAAACACAAATTATGGTCTATCAAATCAGATTAAGGTTTATTTATTTATATAGCACCAATAACCACCTATGGGAGGCCCAAGGTGCTGACCAGCACATAAAAACAAGGATATAAACAACATAGTAGATAAAAGAGAGTAAAACTGATCAAAAATAAAAATAATAGAAAAGTACAAGTAAAAGTAAGTAAAAGCCATGAAGTAGAAATGGTAAAAATACAAAAGCCAGTGTCAACGATGTTGAGGGAAAGTTAGATAAAAGTGAGTTTTCAAGTGAGACAAACTCTTGTAGAGAAGGTGCTTGCTTCACTGCCAGAGGGAGTTCATTCCAGAGTGTAGGGGCCGTTACTGAGAAGGCCTAGCCTAGTGAACTAGACCAAATTCTTGCTTTGCAAAGTTTGGTCTAGGAATGCTCCACTGGAACCTCTGCAGCCCCTAACAGCATTCTGGCTGGCCAATCACAGCTCTCTAGAGGGGTTTCAAACACATAAAGAGCTGTGATTGGTCCATAATGGTGGGCCAATCATAGTGCTCTATCTGCTTAGTGAACAAATCACAGAGCTTTATCCGCTTTGTGGGCCAATCAGGGCACTCCATATGCCTGGTGGGTGGAATGATGCAACAGAGTGAAACAAGATGGCAACAGCTCGTTTGAAACGGCTTTTACATCAATTTTGGACTATTAGAACTTGGGCTTCATTAGAATCAGGAGCAGATAGATGTATTTAAGTAGGTTTTTTTGGTTTTAGAAAAAATTATGTGTTTTCTCCTTCTTCAACTGTAGACCGTCTCATTTACCGATGGCTGTTGCGGTGAGTATGTCACATTCATTGTCCAGTAGCATGCGGAGATCATTTGAAAGACAACGGTAGAACCCGACTAAGCTTAAAAAACATGCTCGAACAACCATGTTTATTTGTGCATCAAATCTAAGGGCTGCTTCAGTTTTCACCCCTAAATTAGTGACCACAGTCCAGGGTATCTGCGGGTCCTTAAAAAGTCTTTAAAAAACTTAAATTTGCTTTTCCAAATTTAAGGTCTTAAAAATCCTTAAAAATGACAAATAATCCTTAAATACAGTTTCCAAATGTCTTAAAATTACCAAAGACCTAATAAACAAGATTCTTTTATTTCTATAAAATTTTCATGAATTTCTAGTTAGTGTTCAGCTTTTTTGTGTATGATGTTGGCAAAAGCGGAACCGTACACATTCAGTTGGTTGTGAAAGGGGGCTATTTTTAGATGAGCACATTAGCTGGTTAAGCTAGTGGGAGCTCGCGCCATGGGGAAGTGCAAGTTTAATGGTAACTGGATGGCTAGTGCACGTTTGCGACGTGGTTAGCACCGGTTCCAGGCAATAGCTGGAAATTATAGCTTAAATTTGGTCAAAGTGGCCTTAAAAAAGGTCTTAAAAAGTCTTAAATTTGGCTCCCTTAAACCAGCAGATACCCTGACAGTCTTTTTGTATTGTTTCATGGAACCACGATCAATTTCATCACCTGCTCCAGCTCTTTCACTAGGGCTGAGTATTATAACCTCAGTTTTAGACTCATTTAGGAAGAGGAAGTTAGCAGCCATCCATGACTTAACTTCCATTAAACGGTCCAATAACACAGATACAGAGCCTTCTGCTCCCCGAGAAAGAGAGGAATAGATCTGGCAGTCGTCTGCATAAAAATGGAACTTAACACCATGGCGCTGAAGGAGGACCCCCAGGGGCAAGATGCATAGTGTAAACAGAAGTCCCCAAGGCACTTCACAACACAATCAGTCATTCACACACACATTCACACGCTGGGGGGATGAGCTATAATGTAGCCACAGCTGCCGAGGTGAGGCCTGTCCAACGCTGGCGCCACCGGTCTCTTCTTATTTAATTCTCTGTATGTAGGGATTTCAGCTCCTTGGTTTTCTCAACAAATGAGTAATTTCTTTCCTGAGAACTTGGCTCACATCTCAAGAGGATGAACATCACCGTTCAACCTCCCGTCAGACCGTAGCTGTTCACGAAACCCATCAATGAACAGAAAGTGCAACAGCTACTAAAATACTGGGGAATCGTCTATTTAAACCACCTTTCTGTTCTACATAACTGAGAAATGGATGGAGAAGCACAAGATGGATGTTTGGAGATAAACTTACGATTTTACCAAGTATTTGCAAAAAAAACAAACAAAAAAACAACAATACTGCATCAGCAGAAAAGGCCAGTGGTAAACAAATCTGTCCATAAAGTAGTCTGGACTGTGGCGAGATAAACAGCTGAGGGATCTGACAAACCAAACTGAAAACTTTGATGAAACCAGAACTGAGAACACAGACATTAACAATATTTCAAACTGCAGACATTAAAATGGAGAAAGGCATCGACAGCAATAATAAAAGCTAAATCACATTTCTAAATCACTGATAGCCTTGGTTTTTAACTAGCTCTAGAAATTACATTTTAGTTAAGAGAAATAAATAGTTTCATTACTGAAGCTACACAATTATTACAATCTGATGAAATTTCACATTTTAATGAAAAGTTTCTCACCAGCACACCTCGTTGATTCAGTCCAGGCTCCTCCCCTACAAGTAGCAGTGAACGTTTCTCCATTCCCAGTCTGGCATCTGTACTGGACCTGGTCATTTCTATTGTAGCTGTCTTTTACACCATAAGTAATGACTGCATTTTCAAAATCAGGATGTGGACATGGTGGTGATGTTGCTAAAAGCAAAAGAGGGAAAAATAATTATTTGCACTGAATTCTGCTTGTTACATAATAAAGAACTTGGCTCAAAATGCATGCATTGCTTTTTTATAACGTAATTCTCTGTAGCTATGGATGTCTGCTCTGTAGTTTTATCAACAAATGGGGTTTTTGCCTCAGAACTGTCGTCACATCTCATATGGACGAAACCCGTCAATGATCGAAAAAGAAGCAGTTTGATCCAACAGCAGGTCACGTGTCTAAGAATCCTTGGGTAAGATGCTGAACACTGAAAATGACTCCCTAGGTACCATGAGATGGCAGTCCACTGATCATCAGGGTCAATGCAGAGAAAACATTTCCCCGATGGGACCAAAGGAAAAATTGTATTTTTAATTTTGATCTCGATCAAAACAAAAAAAAAAGTAACATTGATTTTTGTCTTTGAGCACCTCACCTTCTATCACCTTTTACTCAGTAAGATCTCCGGGAGCTGATCTAAATCCAAACTAAACTAATTTGTACAATTATTTTTTCATACAAGGTACAAAGATTTTATTTGTTTCAACAAAATTATCATGAAAAAATATGTATTTGCATTTTCAGAAAAACAACTGAAATGTAAACTCTGCAGTACCTCGGCAAAGTGGTTTTGGTGTCCAGCCATCTCTGGTGCATGTGGCATGTTGAGCTCCATCTGTTCTCTCATAGTACCATTTACAGTCATAGTTCACAGTGTCACCTAACCTGTTTCGGCCCTGGGTGTCACGAGTGGTACCCCAAGATAAATTATCTTCTGGTAGATTACGTGAGCAAGTAACCTCTAGAACAAGAGAAACAAAAACAAAATATAAACACACACACACACACACACACACACACACACACACACACACACACACACACACACACACACACACACACACACACACACACACACACACACACACACACACACACACACACACACACACACACACACACACATCTGAACATACATGTAAACTAGAGCTATTCTAACTCTACACCTGAATTAAAGGTGTCTAGCATGAGATTTTATTCTCATTTCTTCTCTTTAAACCTGCAAACTTCTGATCACCGGACAAATTTGTGGTGTGAGTTAACGAGAGCTGTTCGTGCTCGGAAGCAAACCTGAATGAACTAGTGTGTGTGTGTTTGTATATATATATATATATATATATATACACACACACACACACACACACACACACACACACACACACACACACACACACACACACACACACACACACACACACACACACACACACACACACACACACACAGTATCCTATACATACATGTTGTAGGCTACACCAAAATATTCATTATGATTCACCAGAAGAAGTTGAGCATTTATTCTATAATCTGGCTCATAAGCTCATATTTTCCATACCTTTACACACGGGCCAGGTGTCCCATTCTCCATCAACTTTACATGTGACGACTGCCTCAGTAGTGTTAGTGTTTATAATCCAGTATCTCTCCCCACACGTAACTCGCACCGTTTGCCGATGTGAAACGACACTGTTTTGTGTACTGTAAGCTGTTCCCGGTGGTGGTGGCTGAGACAGTTCACAGGTTATCTCTAGATGAAATATGAAAATAAAAAGATTATATATTTATCTGAGTTTTTTTCTGATAACCACGCAAACCCAACGATCTGATCTAGCTTGTGATACATGTGTACCTTGAGTAGACTTACCTTTACAAGCAGGTGTTGGTGCCCATTCTGCGATGCCACGCTGTCCTAGTTTTTGGCATTTTGGTTGTCTGTTATCAACCTTTTTAAATCCATGGTTACAACGAAAAGTCAACCATTCATCTTTCTTGTACTCCTGACGATTCCCTTCTACACGGCCATTTTCAATCACAGGGGCATTACATTTGATCTCTGTTGTCAAACACAAGAGGTTACCGTTTTCTGGTCAGTGAAAATGTTGGGACAGATTTAGAATTCAGTTTGTTTGCTACTGGATGAACTTCCTGTTATTTGTCATGTAGTTGTAGTGGTTTCTGATATCCTACCGTACCTTTACATTTTGGAACTGTGCCTTGCCACTCGCCATTTGGATTGCAATGCAACACTCGTGATCCTTCCAAGAAAAGATTGCTGCTCCTGCAGCTAAACTGAACTGCATTACCAAAAGTGGCTTCGTCTAAATCCCCCACCACCTGCATGCCATCGGGCAAAGGGATGGATGGACATCT